TATTTGGTGAGATCACCACACACGCTAAGGTTAGTATTTATACCTCATACCGTAAATCGAGTATATCGTCGTCTTATAGGTGGATTTCGTGCAAGTGGTCCGTAACGCCTGCAAGGAGATTGGTTACGATGATGAAGCTAAGGGTCTCGATTACAGGACTATGGAAGTCCTCAACAAGCTCGAGGAGCAGAGTCCTGAGATCGGCCAGTCTGTTCACGGACTGGGAACTAAGGCAAGCAGCTATCAATTTACACATAATATATGATTGTTATTGTCGTTAGGCCCCTGAGGAGATCGGTGCCGGAGACCAAGGTCACATGTTTGGTTACGCTTCTAATGAGACTCCTGAACTCATGCCTTTGAGCCACAGTCTAGCCACTAAGCTGGGTCATCAGCTTACTGTTTGCAGAAAGAACGGTACCGTTAAGTGGTTAAGACCTGATGGAAAGACTCAAGTAACTGTAGAGTATACTAAAGGCACTAGTGGGGAGATGATCCCCGTTAGAGTCCACACCATCCTTATTTCTACTCAACACTGGTAAGTTGTATATCATCACATTGAGTTGCTGCTTTCACCTCCATCGTTCTTTTGTCATCAGCCCTGAAGTCAGTCAAGAGCAGATCCATTCGGATTTGATGGAGTATATAATAAAGCCTATTGTCCCTAAGCAGTACCTTGATGAGGAGACCATATACCACTTGAACCCCAGCAAGTCGTTTACTATTGGTGGACCTCATGGTGATGCTGGTCTTACTGGTCGTAAGATTATTATTGATACTTATGGTGGCTGGGGAGCACACGGTGGTGGAGCTTTCTCTGGCAAGGATTCCACTAAGGTGAGGAATACCCCAAGGTACGTTCGTGGCTTATCTGGTGTGATTAGGTTGATAGATCGGCAGCATATGCAGCTCGATGGGCAGCAAAGTCCCTGGTCCATGCCGGACTGTGCCAGCGTTGCTTGGTCCAGGTCAGTTATGCTATTGGAGTTGTCCAGCCATTGAGTCTCTTCGTGGACTCGTAAGTGCATTCGCATCTG